AGGTGATGTGAGTGTTAGTTTCATGAATTTTAGGAGTTGTTACTATGAATTGAAACTTGGGGAAAGTGTTGGAGTTCTAGTGTATACTAAATTATAATGTGGCTTTGAGCTAGTGAAAGGGTGGAATAGAGGAGCCTTCGAAACTAACTGTGGGAGCATCTATGTATTTTTATTTAATTAATCGGTTTCATTTCATTATTAATCGGTTTTAATAGCTTTAAACCGTTTAAATTGCATTAAACCACTCTTAATCAATGTTTTGTGATTACTCTTTTAATTGTTCTTAAGCTATCTTTCGGCTGTCCACCAGCCACATAAATTGACTGGAGAAAGCAGGTTGCATGTAAATTGCTCTGAAGAAACAGAACTTTAAGAATGCCATCCATGATTTTATTGCTTACATTTGTAATGTTCTGGTTTGGTAGGTTGCTCCTGCAGAACTGGAAGCTCTGCTGCTTAGCCATCCCAATATTGTTGATGCAGCTGTTATACCGTGCGTTTGCCTTATCAATATCACATCATCTCTTCTTTTTCTAATATCTCCTCTGATGTTTTTTACATACAGAATATATATATATATATAGCGATAGAAGAAATATATTTATTATTGAACTTGCAGGGTTGAAGATGTAGAAACTGGACAGATACCAATGGCGTATGTGGTGAAAGCAGCTGGTTCTGAGATCACAGAAGACCAAGTCATTCAATTTGCCGCCAGCCAGGTTAGTCCTCATTTAGCTTTGCAGTTGAGTGTTAGGTCAAATTGCCTCACAAAGATTGCAACTGGTTTTAGTTCTGAAAATATATATTTCAAGTCATTCTCCAATAGAATAATATGCCCCATTCAATCCTAAACATAAAAGATAATAAAGAAATTAGCTTTGGTACTAAATGTAAGACTTTATTCATTTTGTTTCTCAAATTTATATATTTTTTTTCCTAAACTCTTCTAATTGATTGCACATATTAAGCAAATTTTTTATCAGTGGCGTGGTTTTCAGTACAAATGATTAAAAAGACGACTTACTACTTTTTTGTAGTCCCTACAAATTAGTTATTTAGCTCCTACATTTACAACAGGGAAGAGTATCTTGCTCGTAGTCAGTTATAGTTACTTGTATATGTTGGCCAAGCAAGCTTAGTCACATAGGTCCTGCTTCATTTATTCCTCTTTGGTCATCTTAATGATGTTTTCCTGCTTATAATACATATGAACAAAATTCCAGGTGGCTCCATATAAGAAAATAAGAAAGGTGAGCTTCATTGATGCTATTCCAAGGTCAGCTGCAGGTAAAATCTTGCGCAAGGATCTTGTTTCACACAGCAAAATGAAACGCGTTTCCAAGTTATGAGCAACTTCTATACAGTGTTTCACTGACTTCTCAGGGCATAATGAGAGAGAAGCGTGTAACTCTTCCGGTACTCAGGAAATGAGAAGATAATCTTTCAGTTCTTCAAATACAGATATTGGACTTGTATCAATAAACTGCTTACTGCTCTGTATTTTGTTATTTATTAATTAATCTTAGGCGGAGTATTTACAGCATACGTTAATATTAATTTTGCTATTATCACAACAGAATACTTACTAATCTTAAAACCCAAACAGGTGTTGTCCAACGGGAAGCTAAAAATAAATAAGCCTTAACGGTACAAAACCAGTAAAGATATCCAATTAAGTGAAAAATGTATGCAACGGAGTCAAGCACTTAGAAGCTGTTCAATTCAATATGACGGTCCATAAGTCCTGTAGAGCCAAAATATTATAAAAGAAACACAATAATCTAGTTGTTACTACAATAAAAACCAAAATAATATGCTAATAAATCTTCATTGCAGTCAAGGTAAAACCTGAAGAATTTAATAGAACTATCAATAGTTGAAAAATCATGGTAAGATCCCAACCAAAAAAAAAATCACCGAAAATTCTAATGACAAATAAGTAACATAAATATTGTTGTCATTTCCTATATTAGACTAATCAATACGACATGTTTGATAATTACATTCCTTCTTTTAAAACCACAGTGATTTTCCCAAACTAAAAGAATATCATGTCCAGAGAATGAAAACAAATGCTGCTATGTCTTCCATCTACTCCTGAAAGTTTCAGTCCTTCAAACTGGAGTACTCATAAAGTTTACCCATACATTTCAATACTAAAAAGGTAACACCAGAGATATCTCTAAGTATTAAAAAAATACTATGATCCGCATGTAATCTGTTTCTCTAAGAAACTTGACGGGTTCCTCGAGCTAGGCTTCATCATTCCAGTTATTTTAAAAAAATCCTCAGTAGTGTTTCTATTTCTCACCGCCACCAAGCCATTGCCAAACGCCCCCAGAACTTTGCCGCCTCGCAGAAGCAAGCTCCATCTCTTGGTCCAGGGCAGACTTCTGTCTACGAAGAGCCTGGACCTCATCTTCCACAGACTGTGTTGATGCCAGCACCTTTTGTAGCTCAGCAATTTTTGCCTGTAATTAAATATTACCAAAAAGAAAACGAAACACCAGAATCAGCAAAATTTAATTTATTTCAGATATAGGAATAGGTTTTATACCTCAAGTGTAAAACATCTTGATCTCTCAGCCACAAGTTGTCCCTGGACTGACTGGAGTTCCTGAAAATAAAAAATAAAAAATTCAACGATAAATACTGCTATTACCACCAGGTAAATTATATGGCAACTCAGTATGAAAGTTGTATCACATGCCTTGGACAACTCGGCATGAGTATTATTAACTTCATCAATCTCGCCCCTGAGCTTAGAATTTTCAGCCCTGGCTTCTGCAAGTGACAATTCCAACACCTGTTTTTCTTTTTCAAAGGACTCAATTTTGACCGTGACATCTTCTATGGGATGATCATTTTCACTTGGCTTAACATTTATATCATCCAGTTGCTTGAAATCCAAGTTCTCAGCCTTAGTCAATGCATAAGCAGCAGTAACAGAAGCTGCAGCAGCAGCAGCAGCTGGTGATTGGAAAATCTTGGGAAACGAGGAATCCTTTGGCTTGGGTCTCAGGATGAATACCTATATTAATAAGAGGACCATTATCCATAGAATGCAATATAGTAATGTATCAATATAGAAGGCCTTAATAAGATACATCATGCTTAAAAGTAAAACTATCAGTTCAAAAGATAAACAATAACTCATTAGCAAAAGATAATTCGGGAACGATTGAATCTAGTTTATTCACTTTGCAACAACATTTGCCAAATATGTAATATGCTCTCATCATCTGTTGAAGCTTAGATGCGGTATATAAGTGAGAGGCAGGAGTAATATATTAAGACAAACGTTAATAAAAAGTCATTATACCATCATCCCCTTTAGGTACACTTCATTTTCTTTTCTCTTTTTCATCCTCCTTATAGTATCTGTACTCTTTACAGTATCCATGCTCTTCAAATTTTCAACAGTGAAACAGCTTTTTTTTACCTCGAATACCAAGAGTTCCTAATAAAACACAATTTAGAAAATTCTGATCTATTTTATTAGCAGCACCCAAACACTAGCCATTGATAAATAATTGATCACCTAACTGACGCAGTTTTCTTCAGTTTCGAACAGCCTAATTAACAGATTTGAACACAATTATTAGGATAGAGTATACACTATCCAGTACTGGTCATAGATTCGAACATAGACTTAAACACAACATAAATGAACTATGGTTTAGCTTTACCAAACACTGGTTCTAGAATTAGCATGATTTTATACTTTTTATTTCTTTTGAGATGATGAATCATCACATTCACATCTGTATCCTGTTTTTCTCAACAATTGAAGTTGCATTAGATCCTTCAAAAGTGGATATGTTCTGATTTAGTTTTCATTTCCAGGTCCATCAGTTATGCTCAATATAATGTCAAAGGATTACTACAGTGTAATGACAGGTTGAAACGAACGGTCAAGAAAAATAATGTTAATGATCAATTGCTGCAAACAATGAACAATTTCATAAACACATGAAGACAGCCAATTTTCAATAGATGGTAGAAAAATGTAACTAAAAAATAATAAAAGTTAACGCACCTCATTACTATACTTTCCATTATAGCCACCAAAAGCTACCAATACATCTCTCCATCAATCATTGCTGAGCAGACAGTAAGACCCTGTTCTCCAAAAAAAACAAACATTTGCATCACATACAAACTGATTGACAAAGCCATGCATCAACTTCATTGGGCATGAATTTTTAACATATGTAGTGATATATAAAAGCTAACCACATTTTTTAATTTCAAACTTCGATCGTACCAAGATTATCAAAATAAGAAACTTCTTTTCATATTAACATTCTAAATATATGGAAACAATAAAATTTAACTTAGCAACAATTAAGCTTATATAAGAAATTCAAACAGTCATCGCAATCTCTTTTTTTCCTCCAACAAGAGATCTCTGTGGGGAAGATTTGTTATGGAAAAGCTTACAACTATCACTTGATGAGATGTCACTTATATAACGAATCCAAGCTGAAATTCATGTGGTCTGTGTATCGTTTATGAACATTGAATTACTGGTCAATAGAGCATTAAATAGGTCTCTCAAAGCACTACTTCAGATGATCTCATTATGGCCATATTAATTTCAATAGTGCACAACTACACCAGCTCTGTCTCTCATTTTTAGATACATCATAGCTGGATTACATGTAAATGTCCTAGACCATATATTTTCTGCTAACACTGTCATGCATTACCTGGCCACCCAAAGTGGCATTAACATCATTCCTAAATCACAGATCCTTTATAACCATACTCCAACCCCAACAAACTAGTCCCAAAAAACCTAGTAATCAACATTGAAAAGTACGCTATTCTGATTAGTCTTCTCTACAATGTTACCAGAAATTATAACCAGGAAGAGAGAGAGGATTTCAAAGTAATGACCTCACTAGCTAGCGGATTTCTAGGCTTCACAGCAGTCAAGACTGACCACACTAGCTTAGACATGTTTAACTCTAGAGTCTCCAAGCAACCTGTTTTGAGACATATTTAATCAGATACTACAAAGGTAATTATCACAAATATAAGAAGTACAATAGCATGCACAGATCATGTCAATTCCATTTACTCCACCACTTTTATTATCACCACCACCAACTATGAACCAACGATCATTAATGGTGACACCAGCATGGCCAGCCCTTGGAGATGCTAAATCACCTTGAATTTGAGGCAGGGACCACTCCATCTGAAGGAAATAAATTATTTCTAACATATTACAATGAATAGTGAAATAGAACTCAACAACTAATTAAAGTCAAATTAAGAATTTAAGATTTAAGAATATTGAACAAGCTTCCACTTCTTTCCATGGGTTACGGGGACAATATAATTGAAACAAAACCCTGACCATAATGTTATCCCTGAAACAATTTAGAAGGCTAACTGAGCAAAGAAATCTCTTTACATAGCAGAAGCTGTCTAGCGTAAGATAAAACACAAGAAGCATACATCAACTCAGTGGCAAGAAGCAAAAGTTGCATACGCATGCACAAACGCCATGTGTCAGGATCTTCAGCATTTAGCAAGTAAACGCTTGATGTGCAGCAGGGAGAGACAACAAAAAAAGGGAATGGGTAATTCACTCCGAAACATATGTAATATAGACTGGCTTCAAAAAAAACCATATATAAATAAAATTAATCACCCAGGAGGGGAAGATCAAACTCATTCCTATCCTACTTTCGTGATTACAGCACAGTCTCCAGAGACAAATCACTTACTGTTTCCAAGTCTAATATGTGAAGATCATTGAAGAAGACAGAATGAGAACAACCACCAAAAACTAGAAGATATCGACCTCCATGAATAGCAGCTGCATGATCATATCTAGGAGCTGGAGGTGTCTGCCTATGAAAATGCAAAAAAGTGATGCAGGAATTTCACAACACATAAAAAGCAGCTTTCATAAAGTGAATTACAAAAATACTTACGCTGTGTTTATAACATCCCAAGTCATGCTCTCCAGATCAAGAACATGGACATCATTCAACAACTTCCTGCTCATGTCTTCACCACCAAACAAAATCACTCTCGAACCAACCAATGTTGCTGACTGCCCCACTCGAGCTAACTAGGAATTCATCAAGAAAATTTAAACGTCAAAATGAGAAACTTGTATATATAAATATTTTTTATGTAGTAGAAGGAAAATTTCATACCATACACACAAAATTCAGCAGCAAAAAGCAGAAGAAAAAAACATAGTGTGCTAATAAATTAACAACATCCAAAGACAGAACTTCACACTTTTCTATCGGCAGAAATACTTACTGGAACATTTCCTGAAGTCTCAATAACTCCATACAGGGATGTTTCAAGATC